ATGCAAAAATAAATCAATCAATTGACCGAGAGAGGGGCGAACTCACTGGCATTGGCGCGGAGCGGAGAACAGGGGCGCTACGGAAGAACAGCGACATCAAGCTTTGCCGGAGAAGAAACCAGATCTACCGCCGCAAAGGGAAAAGCAGAAATGGGGAAGAAAGGAGAGGCGGGGGTCATATGAAGCAGTATATTCGACAGTCAAAGTTGCCGAATATACAGAGGAAATGATGTCGTTGCCAACCATATTGGCGCCGATTATGTTGCCATACATATTCGACAGAAAATTTTTTACGAATGTGTTTATTCGTCAAACATTTTTTGTCGAATATCTTTATATATTCAACAAAAAAGTTGCCGAATATAAAGACTGTCGATTAAACAAGAAGTTTCCATTATCATCGTCAATCTTACATCTTCATCAATCTTTCTGTCAGTTATGTACACATTTTCGACAGAAATATGACTGTCGAATATAATATTGTCGCATATGCTGCATTTTCCAGTAGTGAAAACCACTGTATAAACTACAAACTACGTAGCAGACACAATTCAAGAAAGGATAGTTGCTGAGCTCAGTAGCTATTTAAACATAATTGTTCAAATAAATAAACTGATTTTAGAGCCTGAGCTTCAGTCCAATGTAAATGCATGTAGATACAGACATACAAAATAAGCTCACATTTGAAATAAGATAAAATGTTTTGGCTAATGTTTGTATCATTCCTAGCTAGCTGCTCCAAAGCCATGCCTTAGAGTAAAAAAATCCATAGAGCTCTAGAGCTCTGTACCACCTTGTAGCAACATAGTCTTGTTTGAAATCTGAGAGAAATCAGCCTATATTTTTATGATAAACACATAAAAACAATAAAAATGTCATTTTATTTACAAGAACAGAGAAAAAATAAAAAAGTGACAACAATGCAAGAAATTATGAAATGCAATACTGTCCAGAATACTGTTGTAGGTGTATCACTGAAATGCAAACTCTTGCTAATCCAAAATCACATATATTTAGTTTATAGTTTTCATTTGCCAATATATTCTTTGGCTTTAAATCTCGATGGTAGACATTTGCTGCAAAATACAGGAGAAAGTCAGAAAGTTTTACAACCTGTGTAAATAACAAGTATTGGTGGAAAAGGAAAAAGGCTAAGGAAAAGATAAAACAGAATTAGAAAGAAGAAAAAAAAAATCCAGACTCTTATACTCCATTAGTGGTTTATCATATGAGTAGAACTAAAGGGACGGGCTTAAAATAGAATGCATTTGATGTTAAAGTAATCTTTTCAAACAAAAATATTTAAGGGGAATTTTCAAATGTAAGGATACAGTTGAAATAGTTAAAGTAATCTGATCAAACAAAAATGTTTAAGAGGAATTTTCAAATGTAAGGATACAGTTGAAATAGTTTACAAGTTCAAAACACCAATAAGGAAATAATACATATGGTGACCATTACCTGTGTGAATATACTTCAATGCTCGAAGTAATTGGTAAAGGAAAAACTGGTAGTGGTCTTGAGTCAACTCATCATTGGCTTTAATAACTTGATGAAGATCTGACTCCATGAGCTCAAAAAGAACATAAACATCTTTAAAATCTTGCCTTGAAGGAGGCAGCATAATGTGCTTAATCTCAATGATATCAGGATGCTGGAGAAGTCTCAGCAGCTTTATCTCTCAAAGAATACAAGCAGCATCTGAGATGTGCTCAAAAATATCATGTATTTTCTTTATTGCAACTCCTTTACCAGTATTAAGTATCAATTCCCAAGCAAACAACACCATAATTAACTTTCCCAAATAACTTCCCGAATTTTATATCTATTAGCATCACCAGATTCAGAGAAAAAATCCATCTCCATGGAACTCTGCCGCACACCAATACCAATTACAATTTAAAGCAAGACAAGATCATATTCTTGAGATAAATTTGATATAGTGCAAGCAGTTTGTATGGTTTTATAACTCACACACACATAAACAAGAATAACTTCATTAATTTATCGAAGAAAATATGTACAGAAATCCATATGGGCGGAGAAACATAACACAGAGCAATCTCGCATCCTCAACCCAACATCAAATGACTCTTAGCAGGTAGATTTAAAAATAAAAAATAAAGAATAAAGACTTTTCTAAAATTAAAAGATCGTGTTGCTTCGGACCAAAAACAAAATAAATTGTGACTCTAAAATATGAAATATATACATAATAAAAATGTATCAGGGGAAAATACTGAATAAGACATAAACTGCTTAAAGAACTAGAAGCAATTTATTATCCAATCCCTGCTTTTAAAAAATATCAAAATCCAGAAAACAGATTTTTGACATTTCAAAATTAAGCAAAACTTGTAAAGAAGTGATGAGGAGAAATTGAAACAAATGGAAAAGAAAATAAGAATAAAAAACTGAGAAAGAACCCACTTTCACGGGCAGAATCTTTACCATTGATAAAGAGCAAACTAAGGAATAGAATCTAAGGAGAAGCATAAGCATATAATTCAGAAGGAGTTCTCAGAAGAGAAATGGAACCCACTTATGAAAACAAGAATTCGCATTAATTTTTCTGGTTATCTACCGCAAAAGAAACGCATCCAGATGAAGAAAATATCAATAGGGAATCAAAACATCCAGAACACCTCCCAAACCAAAAACCAGAAAAACTGTGGCGTTATATCTAATAGGAAATCCAAACATACAGTTCGGCGATCTCTTGAGACAAATATATACCTTTTTTTTTTCAATAAAACGGTTAAAATTGGTCATCCAATTTTGAAATGGAAATTAAAGAATGATGCGATCACCTTTTTCCGGTGATCGTGCCGCATTTTGCTTCGGCCGGAATGAAAAAAAAGAAAAAAAAAAAATCGGCCTGCTTGACTATCGGGTAAATGATCGGCCAGTGAATCAATCCGGCAATGGAATCAGCTGCATTTGCCTCATCTAACCCTGCTCCCGATCACAAGTCCACAGTCTCACCTTCTCCAACATGGAATCCAAATCAAACCCGAATCCATCCATTCACCGACAATATCAATTGCCATACAGAGCACACAATCTTCGACACTTCAGTATTAACAATCTCATCATTCCTTGGTGTTCAAGGCCAACAACACTTCCACCAAACTGATGTGCTGCACCCCACGATTACGCTACCAAATGGTGCAGCAACAAAAGCCCAGAATCAAAAATCCCGTTCATGGATCTCAGAAAATGAAAAACGAAGCTGCGAGATGCGTTCACCGTCACAAGGGAGCTGGAAAGTGTGGAAAAATGAAAGGTTCACGTCATGAACCTTGGGATATATAAAAGTTTGTACCGTGTGCCTATTTATCAGTAGGCAATGTACAAATATATATGCAGACAACCATGCTGTATAATTTTTTTAACATATA